GCTAAGGCTGGGCTTGAAAACTTGCCCATAGGGATTCCTAGAATCTGTCTGAGAACAACACCTCCGGCCATAGTGAACGTATTATCTAAGTCAAATTGAATAAACCTAACCAAAACAGAAAACCTGACAGATTTAAACCCAACCTCACTGACGGCAACCTTAGATAGCCTGACCAATTTCCTCCGTGGGTGTACCAATCACTTATAATATCCCTTTTCCTCGAACACGCTAATGGCCCAGTCGACCGCTGCTATGATAGCAGAGTGGGGAGGCTGGCAAAACATCTCCTTGACGTCAAAACTTCCTGCCAGCAGACCTTCATCAGTACCAATATCCTTGTTAACCTTTCCTAAAAATAACGGCAGAAGATCCGTACTACGTAGATTAAAATGACTGCAAGATGGAAGACACTTCAGAAATTCGTTCACACAAGATGGAGATCCCAATCCTGCTGATCAGAGTTGATCACAAGATGCACCAATTGAAAAAGAATCTGGTTCCAGTTAGAAAAGTAGGACATGTTGATGGTGTTTGTCAAAAGCACCAATTCAGCAGTATCCTTACTGTACTGACTGGATGAACCACTGGTGACAACCTTCTCAACCTCTTTGCGTAGCTGTCTCCTTCTCTCTTCATTTCTTCTAGCCTCCTGAGCTTAGCAGCCTTACGTGTTGGTTCAGACCAAGACGGACAAATCGGTCTCCACTTGTTCACATCTTTATGCTTCGGAATACCATAGGACCTACCTAACTTACCATTCGATGCCCAAGGGGCCATCAGCGTAAACTTACCAGCCCTGTAAGATTCCCTGCATTTAGCTAATACGTCAATTTCGTCATCCTCAACCCTTTGCAAACCCGGATTCTCAGTAAACAACTTCCCCATTCCTTGCGCATATATAACTGGACAACAAGCATAGGTGTCCCCCGCATTATGATCCAGGGGGCACAACACCAATCCTTCAAAACGCTTCCTAACATCGGAAATGTCATTCTCCACCACATGCTTCGGCAGAACCATGTTGCTAAACAGGCACTCCTGCAGATCCTGCCTAGGAATGTCGACAGTTGATCCGAAGAAGTTACCTAAGGAGGACACAATTTGCTTACGGAGACTAAAGGTATTGACGGGGTAATTAGGGGAAACGACATCCTTAGAGTTCAGCAGAAAGCTAGGTAGTGAGGAAGAAAGATGACTAAATGTAAAAGAAACATGCCCATCGCAGCGAGGAAAGACAGATTCCACCTCTAGACACGAGCACTCGGAGCTACTAGCATTCGCATACTTACGGAAATTATGAATCAAATCCCCAACACACTTATTTTTCACCCAAACCAGCCTAAGACGGCGGCAGACAAGCGCCAAGTATGACGGGGGGAAATTAAGCCCTCGAATGATCCTCTTGCACAGTTCCCTAACCTTACTCTTAACTAGCCTATCATCATACCTAATCCTAATAGTCAATCTAGCGGAGAGGCAAAGAGAGAACTTCTTTCGGCAAGCAAGAACAAGGATAAGCCTTAGGGAGGAACGAGATCTTTTATTATTGATAGTACGTACTGCATCGTAAAGATGGATAAAGGTGTCAAGATCCCAGTGAAGCGACTCTTTCCTGAAAGAGGGGATATTAAGTAGTTTAATCAGCGTAGTTTTTAAGGGTAGAGAGCGAGAACAAAGACGAGAGAATGTGTGAAAGGAGATGGAGGCATTTTGCTTAAACCAAGATCGACAATTCTTCAAGAGTGAAGTTGGAAGACCAGCGGCGGAGACAGTAGAAGAGCCGAACAACCTCCTAATAAGCTTCCATTTTTCGGAGAAGGCAAAACCGGAAGAATTACTGACAAAGAAAGGAAGAGGAATTTTGCTATCCAATGCTTTTTGCAGAATGGAGATAAGGCTAACGGAAGCACAGCCAAATGAAGAAAGGAATTTAAACGGAATCACATCCTTCCACCCTGCCGACGGGGTATGCTTACATGCATTCTTTCTCAACCTTTCCTTCCTGCCGGGACGATTTACCCTAGCATGACATTTTCTCCTGAAAAAAGAATTTAGGGCAGGGCTACTAGAATTAATAAAAAAAAATTCTGACCCCAATAAATCCGCCCAACCCACAGCGAAAATCGGAATAGCCACGTAATTATGAACCCCAACCCTACGCAACCATCGATATAGTTCCCTATTGTTCTTAGTCTTCCCATGGGGTGCGGATGAAGTAAGGTGTTCCTTCCACCGACAACCCAGAGACCTAGAGGTACAACCTATGTAGATATGACGGAACCAGGGGGATACTAAGGCATAAACTACAGGACCCGGACATCGAGTAAAATCATAGCCATTCTGCAGAAAAATAGACAAGAGATTAATAAACTTACTACACCAAGGGACCTCACCTTGGACAATGAGCAGAACTACGGTTAAACAAAGAATAACTTGAAGCTTAGCCGCGGGAAGCTCATTACGGAAATCCCTGCAGAAGTGAGCTAATTCCCAAAGATTGGACGCGCTCAGGGAGTGTCCTCACCCCTCGTGAACGTCTTCTGTGGAGGTAGCGTAGCTCTGCTCAGAATCGTCCTCGTCTTTATCCGGTTCTGACCCTCCTTTCCGATCCCTGTCTTTAAGCCAGACGTCAAAGTCCCGTCTGGCTCTGATCTCAGCGACGTCCGTCCTAGCTTGGTCCAATTTGATGTAGCTGATTCCCTCCTCCACACATGCAATCTCCATGTCCGCCTTTTTTGCCTGACGAATCTCCTTCATCCGTACATCCCGGAATTTAATCATCCGGGTTTCCTCCAAGTCATGCGCAACGTCCACAATCGGCCTCGTCTTGGCCTTGCCTGCTACCAAGCCCCCTTCGTGCTCCTCTTCCTCCTCGTCCGATCCAACCTCCACCGCCTGGAAGCTAGTTCTCAAGTTCGTAGGCGTGGTCTTCCTAGCTGAAGCCTTCCTTGATGTAAGCCGAATACGAGAGGCACCCATCCTTGCCATCCGTTCCTTTGCCATTTCAGCCTCTCTTAACGCCATCTCCTTCGCGGCCAGTGCCTGCTTGTACGCTTTTTGCAGCGCTTCGAGGTCCTTAGGGGTGTACATAGTAGTGAATTTTGGATCCGCTTTCTGCTTCCCCTTTGCTGGCTCCTCAGGAGGGCTGCTCTCAGTGACAACGGCCACGTCCCTCTTCCCCCGTATCAGTACCACTTCTTCTCGTAACTCTGGAAACTCCTTCCTCAGATGATTGTTTTTTGTCTTCAAGGATGATAGCTTCGCGTTCTTCTCTTCCAGCGCAGATCTGATCGTGCTAAGTTCTTGAATTTGTAGTTGCATGGCCAGCAACCCGTCCTCCTTTCCCACATCGTGGCTCTCTTTTCCTTTTTCCTGACGGCTTTTCAACTCGGCAATCTCCTGTCGGAGACGCTCCTCCTCGCTCTCTAAATCCTTCTTCTTAAGTAGAGCCTCCTTCTCCCTTCTTAGAAAATCAACCCTAGATTCATTAACTCCCCCGACCGTCTGAGCTCTCAGAGCCTCTAACTCCTTCCTAAGCTTGACAACCTCCTCGTCCTCGTCCTCGGGAATATCGACCTTCCACCCCAAGGCCGATTCGCACACCGCCTTCACACTGCTACGTACGATATGACCCAGTCTAGCCTCCTGCTGCTCCCAATCTTTAGCGGCTTGGATCCGTTTGTCTTCTTCCGCCTGAAGCCTCTTCTTCTCTTCCTGAAGAAGCTCAAGCTTAGCGGCCTCGCGCTTCCGCTTTTCCTGCTCCTCAATTTGCTCAGACATCATCGCATATAACCTATCAATCTTCTCATCCCTGTCACGCTCCCGGTCTCGATAACCACCATTCCAGGGTCTCGAATAACGCTGCCCGCCATTGTCCTGCCCACCATTGTAATTGCTGTTACCGTATCCCTTGTTCTGCGGTGCAACGTATGGTACGATCGCGTTCGAAGAACTAGGCGCTGGCAACAACCCGCCCCCATCACTCCTTCCACCTCCTCCCAATGATCCCTGAATACGCGCAGCCATCTCGGCGCCGTTAGGCTGTCCTCGAAAAGGACACTCTCTGATGAAATGACCCGGAAGCTTACAAAAAATGACAAGTACCGTATCCAGCCATGCCTCGTAATAACCAAGGGACTATCCCGTCCCTACAGAACCCTTCAATAGGCACAACACTATCAACGTCCGTGTTAATAGCAAAGAGAGAAAGAAGAGAAATGAAAAAGAAAGAAGAAGAAAGAAGATGATAGCAGATAAAAAGAAAAAAGAGAAAAAGAAAAACAACAATCGAAAAGAAGGGGAATAGGAATGAACTAACACAATCACTCGCACGAGGTAAAAATCCCCCGCTGGTTAGTTGTATGCATGTCGCTGTAGAGTTAAACTCCAAGCAACATTGAGCCAAGTGAAAAACACATAAGGCCATTCATTTGGAGAAAAGGTGAGATGAAAAAGACAAGACAAGACTGAGACAAAAAGGAACACGAGAGAATAAAGCAAATTCCCCCGAGCGCGTTCAGCTCGTAAAAAGTTCAATGATAGCTGAAAACAGTGAAGATGATGATGTAAAGGCCGTAAAGGCGCAAAACGCCATACCGTGTTGCTCAGTCTGGCGCTCACCCTACGCGTTTCGGCCGGTCCGCCAGTGTACCGGCCATCATCAGGGGTGGCGCTTTGGAA